TCTCTAAAAAAAAAAAAAGAGGAAATTTAGGGGTCAAAATTATGGAAGAAAAAAAAAAGAAAGAATGAAAACAGAAGTATATATGCCAAAGAGTTAGCAGTAGTTATGTGAATGGTGAATTGTTCAGGAATTTTTTTACTATTCTCTTTTTTGGTTTATTTCTGTGGTTACTGGTAATAAACTCTATTATTTATATAAGAAAAAAATAGAGATTAATGGGTTCCATGTGATTTTAATGGGTTCCATGTGATTTCATTGATACTAAAATTTGTATGTTTTTATTTTTCAGGTTAACAAAATATATTGTGTTACTATGTTTCACTAAATTTTTGAAAGCTGTGGGACTATTTGAATCATATGATCTCCTAAAAGTAGTTCATGTTGTTCAGTTCATTTTTATATTAAAACTTGGGTGAGTATAAATGGGCTTTTTTCTTAATTGTTTTATTTCTTTGAAAATCCATTTAAACTATCTTTAGGAAAATTATATTGAATTTTTTGTGCAATTTATTTCTCTTGATAAGTATTAGATAACCTTTTTTAAATGTAAAAAAACTTAAAGGTTAGAGTATAAAGAGACATAAGAAAGGGGGTTGTTGTCCTCCAGTTACATACCAAAACATAGACTATAGTTTGTGTTAATGGAATTTTTGTAAGTTTCTTTTAATATCTGACCTAATAGAGGTCAGCAAAGTTCTCATATCTGCTCCAGCATTCAACCTGTTGAAATATCTTATATTATCTAGCCTCTGAAAAACTTTGTTGTACACTTCTGAGAGAATAAGAGAGAGAAGCAGATAATATTTTGGTATTTCCATGAAAGTGGTTTAGATCTTGCCTGTTCTCTAAAAGGCTCTCCCAGACCCTGGGGATTCCCAGACTACTTCATGGATATAGTCCATTCTGCAAGCAGGTGCAGAATGTTACCTGAGGCTTGTCTTGGCACAGATATTTCTTAATATCTAAATTAAACCATGCTAGCCTGTGTACACTACATAATCCCCTCACAGTACAGGGTCCTTATACATTAAGGACCTTATACATTAAGTATAAACATTATATATTCTATATGTAATAAACCATTTCATGCTAAACAAAGATTTCTGGGCCTTGAAATTGATAGTAAACACCTTCTGTGTTAATACAAATCTGTTACAGGCTATTGGGATTGTTATTTTGGTAATTTGGGAAAAATTTTTTCTTTTTCTTTTGTTTTTTTTTTTTTTTTGAGACAGAGTTTCACTTAGGTCACCCTCGGTAGAATGCTGTGGCATCAAGGTCACCCTCAGTAGAATGCTGTGGCATCACAGCTTATGGCAACTTCAAACTCCTGGGCTTAAGCAGTTCTCTTACCTCAGCCTACAGGCACCCACCACAATACCTGGCTATTATTTTGTTGTTGTTGTCATTGTTTGCTCAGCAGGCCTGGTTTGAACAGCCAGCCCTGGTGTATGTGGCTGGCACCCTAACCATTGATCTATAAATGCTGAGTCAGGAAAAGATTCTTGACTAGGAAATTTTAAGCACCAGATGTATACTTTTTTTTTTTTTGGAGATAGAGTCTCACTGTGTCACCCTTGGTTGAGTGCTGTAGTGTCACAGCTCATAGCAACCTCAAACTCTTGGGCTTAAGCGATTCTCTTGCCTCAGCCTCCCAGGTAGCTGGAACTACAGGTGCCCATCACACGCCCAGCTATTTTTTTTGTCATTGTTGTTTAGCAGGCCCTGGGCAGGTTAGAACCCACCAGCCCTGATGCATGTGGCCAGTGCCCTAACCCCTGAGCTATAGATGCCAGGCCTGTATACATTTTTTTTTTTTTTTGAGACAGAGTCCCAATCTGTCACCCTAGGTAGAGTGCCGTGGCGTCACAGCTCACGGCAACCTCCAACTCCTGGGATTAAGCGATTCTCTTGCCTCAGCCTCCCAAGTAGCTGGGACTACAGGCGCCTGCCACAATGCCCAGCTATTTTTTGGTTGTAGTTGTCGTTGTTTAGCAGGCCTGGGCTGAATTCGAACCCGCCAGCTCTGGTGTATGTGACTGGCGCCTTAGCAGCTTGAGCTACGGGCGCCTAGCCAATGTATACATTTTTAAATAAGTGTTTTATTAGTGTGAAAGTAGGAACATGTTTAGGATTTTCTTCATTTTATTATATTATTTCGGAATGTACAATTACTGAATTTTAGAGAAGATAAGAATTGTTTTCTCTGGTATTTCAAGATATTAAAAAAATATTGAAACTATTTTTGTGACTTATGAACTAATTCTGAAGACAATTACAAGGTGGAGTTCTGGCCAGGGAACAGTGGCTTCATCCTGTAATCCCAGTACTTTAGGAGGCCAAGGCAGGATTATTGCTTGAGGCTAGGAATTTGGACCAGCCTGGGCAACATACTGTGACTTGGTCTCTACCAAAAATTTAAAAATTAGTTGAACATGGTCACACGTACACCTTTAATCTCAGCTCCTCGGAGGCTGAGTCAGGAGGTAGAAATTCAAGGTTACAGTGAACTATGATCAGGATCCTGCACTCAGCCTGAGTATTAGAGCAAGATCCTATCTCTAAAAAATAGAATTATAAAATAAATAACAAAAGAAAAGTTCCCAAAATGTTGCAGTGGGAGCCTTATTAAAATATAGTTCTCAAAATATATATATATATATAGTTCTCCAGGCTGGGTGCCCTAGCACATTGGTTATGGCGCCAGCCACATACACCAAGGTTGGCAGGTTCAAACCCAGCCCAGGCCAGCTAAACAATGACAACTGCAACAAAAAACAGGTGGGCATTGTTGCAGGCGCCTGTAGTCCCAGCTACCTGGGAAGCTGAGGCAAGAGAATGGCTTAAGCCTTAAGAACTTAAGGAAGTTCTCAACCTTCCTAATGCCACAGCCCTTTAATACAGTTCCTGTGGGTCACGACCCACAGGTTGAGAACCGCTGGCTTAAGCCCAAGAGTTTGAGGTTGCTGTGAGCTGTGACACGATGGCACTGTATAGAAAGTGACGTGGTAAGAACTCTTTCTAAATAAATAAAATAAAATAAAGGCTGGGCACCTGTAGCACAGTAGTTATGGCGCCAGCCACATACACCGAGGCTGGCGGATTCGAACCCAGCCTGGGCCAGCTAAACAACGACAACTGCAACAAAAAATAGCTGGGCATTATGTCTTTAGTCCCAGCTATTTGGGGAGGCTGAGGCAAGAGAATCGCTTAAGCCCATGAGTTTGAGGTTGCTGTGAGCTATGACGCCACAGCACTCTACCCAGGGCAACACAGTGATACTCTGTCTCAAAAAAAAGGTTAAAATAAAATAAAATACAGTTCTCCAGTATGATTTCTGGTTTAGAGGCTAACATATCTTTCAAGATCTAGTATATATGTTTAAAATAAAATAAATGCTTTGGCTCGACGCCTGTAGCTCAAGAGGCTAGGGCGCCAGCCACACACACCAGAGGTAGCAGGTTCAAATCCAGCCCAGGCCTGCCAAACAGCAATAACAATTACAACCAAAAAAAATAGCCAGGCCTTGTGGCGGGCGCCTGTAGTCCCAGTCTCTCCTATTGGGAGACTGAGGTAAAAGAATCGCTTATGCCCAAGAGTCGGAGGTTGCTGTGAGCTGTGACACTATGGCACTCTACCCAGGGTGACAGCTTGAGACTCTGTCCCTAAATAAGTAAAATAAAATAAATGTCTTTACTTTAAACTATCATGTATTTAATGTTGACTAGTATTAATATATTAATGTTTCAATATTTACAGGACTGCATTTTTTATGGTTTTGTTTCAAAAGCCATTTTCATCTGGCAAAACTATTTCCAAACATCAGGTAAAGCTTTTGCACAATCCTTTATTCCCAGCAGCTTCCCATTTAGTGAATGAGGATACAGTGCTCAATTTAAGGACACAGTAGAACTTTTCTAGAGTTAACTGACTCTTCACGTGTCTTTTTAGAATAGAGGCTTCAAGAAATATAAAGTGCTAAGATAATGGAATGTTTAAAAATATAGAAAAGGGTAAAAAATACTGAAAGCAATTATGTCATGTTTTTCTTTAATATTCTGAAAGTATACAAATCAGACATGAAGCCATGCCCAAGAGCCTAGTACAAATGTGACTACAAGGCCAATAAAGCAAAGGGATTAAGAGTCAAAGGCCTCTGGAGTCAGACAGATTTATGTTCCATCATCCTACTTACTGAGCCTTACTCTGGGCAAGTTATAGTAACTTAATTTCTCTTTAACTTAATTGGATCACCTTAAAATGGAGCTATGAAGAGTAAATAATGCATAAGAATTTCTTAGAATAGTGGCTGGCATGTAATAAGTATGCCATACATATTAGGGTGTAACACATCACACTTATTGTCATTTTCACCTTTAAACAGCTGATGGACTTCATGCTACATATGTCCTACATTTTGCATAATTATCTCACATTATCATTCTTTGGACAGCAATTACACCCTACTACATGTTTGCTTTATGCCACTACTTAGAAAACTACACTTTGATTTTTTTTTTAATTAGAATGGCAGATTTTAAGTACTTCTGCTTTACAGCCCAAGAATATTTTTAAAAATAAGATTAATATTTAAGCCCCATCTTATATTTTTTACTCTTTTTTCAAATACAGGAGCACTAAAGATCCACAATGGGAAAGAATTTAAAGACTAAAGTATAAAAATTCCTAGGAAAATAGTGAGAAATGGAAAAAAAAAAAAACTGTAGATAATGGAAAACAGAACAGTGTCTTGTAAATCTATAATTATTCAAAAGATCTTAACATTTTCTATTTAATGTCAAGATATGTAATTATTTCACCTTTAAAATATTCATTGCCATTATTATTTTTCCCTGTATATGTTATTTAAGATTGAGATTTTAGCAAAACATGTTACTGAAATTCTTAATTTTGTTTGTTTCCATTTGTAGTGGATCAAAATAGTTAAACATGCAATTGCTGGGTGTATCATTTCGCTCTTGTGGTTTTTTGGCCTTACTCTTTGTGGACCACTAAGGTAAACAAAAATGCATATTTTGAATGTTTGTTCATATTTCTTTTTTTTTGCAGTTTTTTTTTTTTTTTTTTTTTTTTTGGCCAGGGCCAGGTTTGAACCCACCACCTCCAGTATATGGGGCCGGCAACCTACTCCTTTGAGCCATAGATGCAACCCTATTCATATTTCTTCATTTTGAATATTAACTGTGTTCTTTATTTTATGTCAAATGTTTATTTGTATAAATGCTTTTATCACTTTAATAGCATTAGATATAATTCAACAAATGGGCCGGGGTGGGGAGAAACTGTTCAGTTTGTGGACTCGTTGTTTAGTGTCTACTATTAATGTATTTATTCATGATTTGTCATAGAATCCAAAGAATTTCAGAAAATTTTTCATGTAAGTGGCTTTTTAAAAACATTTTTAGTCATCCCTTTTCAGCAGCTGAGAAGCTAAAAGGTCTGAAATGGTGAATAAAGTCAACCAATAAGAAAAACAATAAATAAGTAAATAAATATTAAAAAAGATTTTTAAAAAAAGTAAAATTTTTTAATAAGTAAATTGAAATAAGTAAATTTTAATAAGTAAATTAAAATAAATAAGTAAATAAATATTAAAAAAGAATTTTTAAAAAAAGACAGGCTGGGCACAGAGACATAGCCTGTAATCTTAGCACTATAGGAGGCTGATGCAGGTAGATTGCTTGAGCTTAGGAGTTGGAGACCAGGCTGAGCAAGAGTGAAGGGCTATCTCTACTAAAAATAGAAAAACTAGCCGGGCATTGTGGCAGGCACCTACAGTCCCAGCTACTTGGGAGGCTGAGGCAAGAGAATCACTTCAGCCGAAGAGTTTGAGGTTGTTATGAGCTATGATGCCACAGCACCCCTAATGAGGGTGACAAGGTAAGACTCTGTCTCAAAAAAAAAAAAAGAAAGAAAAGAAAAAGAAATTATGTTTGAGGTATATTACTAAATCACTGTCCCTGGATGTTAGGATAGGGAGGGAAGGGATAAAGACTTAAATATTACTTTAGTCCTTATTCAGTCATATTTCCTGTCCTTTTTTTTTTTTGAGACGGAGCCTCAAGCTATCCCCCTGGGTAGAGTGCCATGGCATCACTCTCACAGCAACCTCCAAGTCCTGGGCTCAAGCGAGTCTCCTGCCTCCGCCTCCCAAGTAGCTGGGACTACAGGCACCTGCCACAGCGCCTGGCTATTTTTTGGCTGCAGCCATCGTTGTTTGGCGGGCCCGGGCTGGGGATTCGAACCCACCACCTTAGGTGTATGTGGCTGGCGCCTTAGCCGCTTGAGCCATAGGCCCGAGCCATATTTCCTGTCCTTACAATCCCTTACAACCCCAGCACTGCTGCTCATTATTTTACTAAGATGATTACGCATTTTCTCCATTGGAGAGATTTCTTTGGTATTTCATTGCCCGTCTTACTTTAGGATAGTATTGCATTGTTGATATACTTATTTTATCAAATTATATTCTTCCAAATGTTAATAGAATTAAAGTGATCACTGATGTGTTCTCACTGCAGATTTTTGGGTAAAGAGGAAAAATAAAAAATGTATGGGGCTGGGCACAGTGGGAGGCCGAGGTGGGTGGATTGCCTGAGCTCATGAATTCGAGACCAGAGTAAGACCTTGCCTCTAAAAAAATATCCAAGTGTTGTGGCAGGCGCCTGTAGTCCTAGCTACTTGGGAAGCTGAAGCAAGAGAGTCACTTAAGACCAAGAGTTTGAGGTTGCTGTGACTCAGTGGCACTCTACTGAAGGATACAAAGTGAGACTCTGCCTCAAAAAAAAAAAAAAAAAGAAAGAAAGAAAAATGTATGGGTGGCACCCATAGCTCAGTGGTTATGATGCTGGCCACATACACTGAAGCTGGTGGGTTCGAACCCAGCCCGGGCCAGCTAAAGCCACAATGACAACTGCAACAAAAAAAATAGCCAGGCCTTGTGGTGGGTGCCTGTAGTCCCAGCTACTTGGGAGGCTGAGGCAAGAGAATCACTGAAGCCCAAGAGCTTGAGGTTGCTGTTAGCTATATGATACCATGGCACTCTACCGAGGGCAACATGGTGAGACTTTGTCTCCAAAAAAAAATGAAATTCATCATTAGGCAATTTCATGCTTGTACAGACATCACAAAGTGTGCTTACACAAACCTATATGGTATACAGCCTACTGCACACCTAGACAACATGGGATAACCTGTGGATCCTGGGCTAAAAACTTACATGGCATGTTACTATACTGAGTACTGTAGGCAATTGTAATACAATGGTTAAGCTGTTGTGTATGTAACATATGTAAACATTAAAAAGGCACAGTAAAAAATACAATATAAAAGATAAAAATTGGTACACTTGAACAGGGCACTTACTATGACCAGAGCTTGTGGGACTGGAAGTGGCTATGAGTGAGACAGTGAGTGGTGAGAGAATGTGCAGTCCTAGGGACATTATTGTTCACTGCTGTAGACTTTATAAACACTGTGCACTTAGGCTACACTAAATATATTAAAAAATAGTGTTCTTTTTTTAATCTCTTCCCACCTATTTTCTTCAATAATAAATTAATCTTAGCATGCCATACATTGCCTTATAACTTTTTTTTTTTTTAATTTGGAGTCTCACTCTGTTGTCCTGTGGCATCACAGCTCACAGCAACATACCATGGTTATGTCTCATAGCTGACATACCATGGTGTCATAGCTGACAGCAACCTCAAACTCTTGGGTTCAAGTGATCCTCTTGCCTCAGCCTCCTGAGCAACTGGAACTACAGGTGCTTGTCACAATGCCCAGCTAGTTTTTCTTTTTCTTTTTTTATTTTTGTTGCAGTTTTTGTCTGGGGCTGGGTTTTAACCCACCACTTCCAGTATAGGGGGCCAGTGCCCTGCTCCTTGAGCCACAGGTGCCATCCTTGTTCTTCTATTTTAGTAGAGACAGCACCTCACTCTTGCTCAGGCTGGTCTCAAACTCCTGAATTCAAGCAGTCCACCTGCCTCAGCCTCCCAGAGTTTTACAGGAGTGGACCACCACACCTGGCCAAACTTTTTTTTTTAATTTTTAAACTTTTTTGTTAAAGACAGAAACAATACATGTTAGCGGAGGCCTACACAGGGTCAGAATCATCACTGTCATTGTCTCCTACCTCATCTTTTCCACTGGGAAGGCTTCAGGAGTAATAACACGCACAAAGCTGTCATCTGTGATTATAAGTGATATGTTATAATGACGTAACAGGCAGGTCCTTCTGGAGACCTCTAAAGGACCTGCCTGAGGCTGTTTTACAGCTAATTTTATTTATAAGTAGAAGGAATACATTCTAAAATAACAATAAAAAGCATAGTAAGTGCTATAACATAGTCGTTTATTTTATCTCTTCTTTTTTTGAGACAGAGTCTCACTCTCTTCCCCCAGGCTAGAGTGTCTGCCTAGTTCACAGTAACCTCAAACTCCTGGACTGAATTGATCCTTTTGACTTAGCCTCCAGAGGAGATGGGACTACAGGCACCTACCACAATGCTCAGCTAATTTTTCTATTTTTTTTTTTTTTTTTTTTTTTTTTGTAGAGACAGAGTCTCACTTTTTTGCCCTCAGTAGAGTGCAGTGGAGTCGCTCCAGCAACCTCCAACTCCTGGGCTTAGGCGATTCTTCTGCCTCAGCCTCTCAAGTAGCTGGGACTACAGGCGCCCGCCACAACACCCGGCTACTTTTTGTTGCAGTTTGGCCGGAGCTGGGTTTGAACCCGCCACCCTCGGTATATGGGGCCAGCGCCCTACTCACTGAGCCACAGGCGCCTCCCTAATTTTTCTATTTTTAGTAGAGATGGGGTCTCCCTCTTGCTCAGGCTGGTCTCGAACTCCTGAGCTCAAGGGATCCTCCTACCTCATCTCCCATAGTGCTAGGATTACAGGTGTGAGCAACCATGTCCAGCCCAACATATTGTGTATTATCATTATCAAATATTGTGCATTATTATATGTACTATACCTTTATACAACTGCTCAGTAGGTTTGTTTACACCTGTATCATCCCAAAATGTAGTGCATTATAGTATGATGTTACGACAGCTGGGATGTCACTAGGCAATTGGAATTTTTCAACTACATTATCAGCTTATGGGACCACCTCCTTACACGTGGTCTGCTATTGACTGAAACATCATTATCCAGCACATGACTCTACACTGGTATTTATTTTCTTTTCTCTACTTTGATTTGAATTCATGCTTCTTGATAGAGATAAATTTCATCAGTAATGTTTTATTTTTGTAGGACTTTGCTGCTATTTGAACATAGTGATATTGTTGTCATCTCGCTACTCAGCGTTTTGTTCACCAGTTCCGGAGGAGGACCAGCAAAGGTATAATTTTTCATTATCAGTTACTTGGAAATTGAAAGTGTAAGTGTAAAATAGCATCCAAAGCAGTAAGAATGCGGGAAGTGAGGCATGGTGGCTCATGCCTATAATCTTAGCACTTTGGGAGGCCAAGGCAGGAGCATCACTCAAGGCCAGGAGTTTGAACCAACCTGGATGACATAGCAAGATCACATCTCTACCAGAAAATTTGTTAAATTAGCCAGGGCTTCGTAAGGTGGCTCACACCTATAATCCTAGAACTCTGGGAGGCCACGGCAGGAAGATCCCTTAGATCCCTTGAGCTCAGGAGTTCAAGAACACCGTGAGCAAGAGGGAGGCTCCATCTCTACTAAAAATAGAAAAATTAGCTAGGCATGGTGGTGCACACCTGTAGTCCCAGCTAGTTGGGAGGCAGAGGCAAGAGGATCACTTGAACCAACAGTACTCTAATCAGGGCAATAGCCTCTTGTCTCCAAAACAAAAGACTAAAAGAATTTTTTAAAAAAATGAAAAGAAAAAACTTTGGCTGCATTAATAATCAGAAATGAGAATATACATCTTACTTATCTTCCAGTTAATATTAGAAATGAATCAGGAGGACAGGCTCATTGGCTCATGCCTGTAATCCTAGCACTCTGGGAGGCTGAGGTTGGAGGATCCATTGAGCTCACGAATCTGAGACTGGCGTCAGCAAGAGTAAGACCCCATCTCTACTAAAAATAGAAAAACCAAGGCAAGAGGATCTCTTGAGCCCAAGAGCTTGAGATTGCTGTGAGCTATGATGCCATGGCACTCTACTCAGGGTGCCAGAGTGAGACTCTGTCTCAAAAAAGAAAAGAAATGAATCAGGGCATCTGTCCAAGATTCTATGCTTTTTTTTGTTAGTTATGACACTGAGCATTATGAAATTCTCAGTTGCCCTCTTTGTTAACAAAAGATTAAATTATATTCTCTATTTGAGTATTGCTTATGTTACTATATCATAACTCAATGAAAACTTAAGAAATTTTTTTTTTTTAACTTTAGAAATTTAAAACTGGAGAAAAAAAATTTTTTGTTTTTGTTTTGAGACAGAATCTCAAGCTGTTGCCCTGGGGTAGGGTACCCTGGCATCATAGGTCACAACAACTTTAAACCCAGGCTCAAGTGATACTCCTACCTCAGTTTTTCTATTTTTAGTAGAGATGGGGTCTCGCTTTTCCACAGGCTGGTCTCAAACTTATGAACTAAAGCAATCCACCTACCTTGGCCTCCCAGAATGGTAGGATTACAGGTGTGAGACACTGTGCCTGGCCAATTTTTGAGACAGGTCTTACTATGTTGTCCAGGCTAGTCTCAAACTCCTGGCCTCAAGCTGTCCTCCCACCTTAGCTTCCCAGTGTGCTGAGATTATAAGCATTAGCCACTGTGCCTAGCTCGATTGATAATTTTCTTTTCTTTTCTTTTTTACTATTAGGGGTAGAGATAGAGGTCTGACTTTAATATTCTTGATACTTTTTCCCTATAGAGAAGTAGTAATTGGAATATTCTCTAACTCTCACACATTGTAGAGTAAAATAAATTCCTACTAATTATCCTTCAGCTACTTTAGCTTGGGCTTTTCAACCAGAAGTAAAATAAGATTTAGGAAGGTTAGTTCTATAAATAGTAACAGTTTGTTCATAGTAACACACCTAGCCATGTTAGCAGGTCGATTAATTTAAATTATTAATATTATGTCTTAAATGTGCTTAAAATACTCTGCAAAATTTGTTAGATCTCTTTTATATCTTACTGTTAACATTATAATTTATGTATCATCAGATGTTCTTTTTCTTTAAATATTTATTTGGAAAAAATGCTTTTCTTTAGTGTTTGTATAGTTATCTTAAAAATCAGCCCTTGAAAAAGTCATCGTTAATGTTATTTTCTTTATTTTCAGACAAGGGGGGCTGCTTTTTTCATTATTGCTGTGATCTGTTTATTGCTTTTCGATAATGATGATCTCATGGCTAAAATGGCTGAACACCGTATCCTTTTGCAGTATATGAGGGAGTAACTTAAAGTCTTACAAAAAAATGGAAGGCTGGCAGAATGGGAAAAAGAATAAATGAACTTAACTGATTAGTGATGAATAAAACTTTCAGATGAATATAGATGTTCTAGATCAGTATTCAAATAATGAACAAATCCATTCTGAGTTAAGTATTTTATTGCATTTCAGTATCTTCTATAGTCCCTAGGTTTTCAGAAATTTAGGGACATTGAAAGGATATTTTAGAATGTTTTGGCTTAGCGCCCACAGCACAGTGGTTATAGCGCCAGCCACATACACCAAGGCTGGTGAGTTCAAACCCAGCCCAGACCAACTAAACAACAATGACAACTGCAATAAAAAATAGCCAGGCATTGTGGTGGATTCCTGTAATCCTAGCTACTTGGGAGGCTGAGGCAAGAGAACAGCTTAAGCCCAAGAGTTTGAGGTTGCTGTGAACTGTGATACCATGGCACTCTACCCAGGGCAACATAGGGAGACTCTGTCTCAAAAAAAAAAAAAAAAAAAAAAAGTATAATGTTTTGGTGTTTAAACATAAATAGATGATTTGCTACTCAGCATAATTTTTGCTCCATTATAATTTCAATTTAAATGTTTATAAATGAAGAAACTTTACCTAAAAGAAAAACTTCAAATTATTTTACCTGGTATTCATCCTTTTGCTCTAAATTTGTTCTTTTTTTTTTTCATTCATTGTTTAGCTGGCCTGGGCAGATTTTGAACCCACCACCCTCAATGTATGTGGCTGGCACCATAACCACTGTGCTACGGGTGCTGAGCCAACCTCTAAATTATTTATACTTCAGCCTCCATTCTTCTCTCATATAAATCCAACTTTCCAGGCAAATATGATTACTCATTTTACTCTAAAGATAAGCCTTGTACTTTCCTATCCACACACCTTTACCCACTCTATTCAGTAGAACCTGAAGCACCAGTTCTGATTGTTCTAGGTGATCACTGCCATAAAACTTATTAGTAAATTAATAATAATTTACTTTGTTACAAAGAGAGAGGGGAGCATGATTTTGAAAAAGCTTAGAGTTGGGCTATGCCTATGGCTCAGGGAGTAGGGCACCGGCCCCCATATACTGAAGGAGGTGGGTTCAAACCACGGCCCCAGCCAAAAACCGTGGGGAGGCAGGGAGGGAAGCCCTGTGGCTCAGTGAGTAGGGCTCCAGCCCCATATACCGAGGGTGGCGGGTTTGAACCCAGCCATGGCCAAATTGCAACAAAAAAATTGGTGGGTATGGGTGGTACCTGTGGTTTAAAGGAGTAGGGTGCCAGCCCCATATACCAGAGGTGGCGAGTTCATACCCAGCCCTGGCCAAAAACAGCAAACAAACAAACAAAATTGGTGGGCATTGTGGCCGGGGCCTGTAGTCCCAGCTACTCAGGAGGCTGAGGCAAGAGAACTACCTAAGCCCAAGAGCTGGAGGGCTATGACACCATGGCACTCTACAAAGGGCCACAAAGTGAGACTCTGTCTCAAAAAAAAAAAGAAAAGAAAAAGTTTAGAGTTGCTTATAAAACCTCTATTTCCCACCCCACTTTCTTTTACTTCCTGCTTGCTTCCTTTCTTGAAGTTTATGTGGTCAGTGACTTAGAAGACAGGTTTAGGACTGATTTTATGTGTCACTTGAAATGAACAACCTCAATTTCACTGGCCAGGAATGGTCCAAGGAGATCCATTACTTTTGTCCCTTTGAACTACTTAATAGTACATATGCATATGCCTTTTGGAACTTAACTACTGAAATGTAGCAACTTCATCTTGAGCACTATTATAATTGTTTTAGAAAAAAACAATTGAAATTCCAGTTGATAAATTAGGTCCTGGAATTAAATGTTACATTGTTTTGTTTTTAAGGGAAACATGTTAATGAAGGTATTCAGGTTTGCCCCCTGCCCCCATACCAGTCTAGACTCAACCCAAAATAATGCAGTTAAAATTTCAGGTTTCAGGAAATTAATTTTTGCAATTTTTACCTTTACTCCAACTCACTTAGCTGAAGGACATCATGACAGTGCTCTAACTCACATGCTTTATACAGCCATTGCTTTCTTAGGTGTGGCAGATCACAAGGTATGTTCTTTGTTGCTAAGGGGATGAAAAGATTTCGAAAGTTGCAGCACCTATAATTATAAAAGAACATTTAAAATCAGTTATCAGTAATTTACAGTATCATCTACCATTTTATAGTTAACTAATTGGCTCGGCGCCTGTGGCTCAAGTGGCTAAGGCACCAGCCACATACACCTAAGGTGGAGGTTCGAATCCACCCCGGCCTGCCAAAAACAATTACAGCTGCAACCAAAAAATAAGTGGATGTTGTGGCAGGCACCTGTGGTCCCAGCTACTTGGGAGGCTGAGGCAGGAGACTTGCTTGAGCCCAGGAGGTTGCTGTGAGCTGTGATGCCACAGCCCCTCTTCCCAGGGGGACAGCTTGAGGCTCTGTCTCAAAAAAAAAAAAAAAAAAGTTAACTAATCAACTATTAGTTAGGATATGGGGAAAACATACTAGTTCTGTTTCTTCAAATATCATACATTTGAGGACTGAGTATTGGACTACATGTGTTTCTAATGAGACTTATCTAATTTTACTCATAGGGTGGAGTATTGTTGCTAGTACTGGCTTTGTGTTGTAAAGTTGGTTTTCATACAGCATCCAGAAAGCTCTCCATAGATGTTGGTGGAGCCAAACGTCTTCAAGCTTTATCCCACCTTGTTTCTGTGCTTCTCTTGTGTCCATGGGTCATCGTTCTTTCTATGACAACTGAGGTAAAGGCAAGCATTGGTAGAAATAAAATGAATTGCTATTACTTAAAATTTTAGTTTAATACATTGTATTTTATGTTGAAGTTGAAAATACCTGAAGTTGGCCAGGTGTGGTGGCTCACGCCTATAATCCCAGCACTCTGGGAGGCTGAGACAGGTGGATTGCCTGAGCTCACAGGTTCGAGACCAGCCTGAGCCAGAGTGAGACTCCCGCCTCTATAGCCAGGCATTGTGGTGGGCACCTGTAAGTCCCAGCTACTCGGGAGGCTGAGGCAAAAGAATTGCTTCAGCCCAAGAGTTTGAGGTTGCTGTGAGCTGTGACGCCATAGCATTCTACCAAAGGCAACAAAGGAAGACTCTGTCTCAAAAAAAGAAATTTGGAGCTACTTTTATTGTTTATGAAATATACAAATTAAATACTATTACATTTATATATCCCTTAACATTCCTATGGCCCCAAAGAATCAGTTGATGAAACAAAAACTATATGTTGGGCAGCACCTATGGCTCAGTGAGTAGGGTGCTGGCCCCATATACTGAGGGTGGCAGGTTCGAACCCGCCCCAGCCAAATTGCAACAAAAAAATAGCCAGGTGTTGTGGTGGGCGCTGTAGTTCCAGCTGCTCAGGAGGCTGAGGCAAGAGAATGGCCTAAGCCCATGGCACTCTACTGAGCACAACAAAGTGAGACTCTGTCTGTAAAAAAAAACTATATGTTAAGCTTAAGGATTATGGGTCACTTAGTCTTTATCACTTATTAAACAATAATCTTTTTTTCTTTGGCCAGGTGTGATAGCTCACACCTGTAATACTAACATTCTGGGAGACCAAGGCAGGTGGATTGCCTGAGCTCACGGGTTTGAGACCAGCCTGAGCAAGTTTGAGACCCTGTCCCCCCAAAATAGCCAGGCGTAGTGTTGGGTGCATGTAGTCCCAGCTACTTGGGAGATTGAAAGAAGAGAATCACTTCAGCCCAAGACTTTGAAGTTGCTGTGAGCTATGACAATAGCACTCTACTGAGGGCGAAAAAGCGAGACACTGTCTCAAAAAAAAAAAATCTGGCTTGGCACCCATAGCTCAGTGATTTGGGCACTGGCCGCATACACCAGGCCTGGTGGGTTTGAACCCGGCCTGGGCTTGCTAAACAACAACAATACCTGGGTGGCGCCTGTGGCTCAATTGGTAGGGCACCGGCCCCATATACCAAGGGTGGCAGGTTCAAACCCGGCCCCTGCAAAACTGCAACAAAAAAATGGCCAGGCATTATGGCAAGTGGCTGTAGTCCCAGCTACTCGTGAGGCTGAGGCAAAAGAATCACCTAAGCCCAAGAGTTGGAGGTTGCTGTGAGCTGTGATGCCAAAGCACTCTACCAAGGGTGACATAGTGAGACTCTTATCCCCCCAAAAAAATTAAAAAATAAATAAAACAACAAAAATAGGCAGCGCCTTTGGCTCAAAGGAGTAGCGGGCCAGCCCCATATGCTGGAGGTGGTGGGTTCAAACCCAGCCGCAGCCAAAAAAAAAACCAACAAAAATTCCCCAGTGTTGTGGCAGGCACCTGTACTACCAGCTACTTGGGAGACTGAGGCAAGAGATTCTTTTTTTTTTTTTTGCAGTTTTTGGCCAGATTTGAACCTGCCACCTCTGGTATATGGGGCCAGCACCCTACTCCTTTGAGCCATAGGTGCCACCCAAGAGAATTTTTTAAGCCCAAGAGTTTGAGGTTGCTGTGAGCTGTGATGTCACAGCCCTCTACCAAGTGAGACTCTTGTCCCCCCCTCCAAAAAAAATCCTTTTTTTTTTTGTTTTTTTTTTTGTTTTTTGAGACAGAGTCTTGCCCTGTCATCCAAGCTGGTGCAATGTCATAAGCATATCTCACTGTAGCCTCAAACTCCTGAGATCAAATGATCCTCCCACCTCAGCCTCCTGAGTAGCTGGGACTACAGGTATATTCTTTTTTTTTTTTTTTTTTTTTTCAGTTTTTAATAGAGATGAGAGTCTCATTATGTTACCCAGGGTAGTCTCAAACTCCTCAGTTCAAGAAATCCTCCCTGGGGCTCAGGCTCCTGTATCTCTGCAGTTAGGGCACCACCCACATACACAGGGGCTGGTGGGTTCAAACCCATCCTGGGCCAGCTCAACAACAATGACAACTGCAACAAAAAATAGCCAGGTGTTGTGGTGGGCACCTGTAGTCCTAGATACTTGGGAGGCTGAGACAAGAGAATCACTAAGCCGTGGAGTTTGAGGTTGCTGTGAGCTATGACACTATGGCACTCTACCAAGTGTGACAAAGACTCTGTCTCAAAAAAAATAAAAATAAATAAGGGTGGCACCTGTTGCTCAGTGGGTAGGACGCCGGCCCCCTATACCAAGGGTGGCAGGTTCAAACACAGCCCTGGCCAAACTGCAACAAAAAAATAGCTGGGCATTATGGCGGGCACCAGTAGTCCCAGCTGCTCGGGAGGCTGAGGCAGGAGAATCACCTAAACCCAGGAGTTGGAGGTTGCTGTGAGCTGTGTGATGCCACGGCACTCTACTAAAGGCGATAAAGGTGAGACTCTGTCTCTACAAAAAATAAATAAGTAAGAAATCCTACCTTGGCCAGGCTCATTGGCTTCCGCCTGTAATCCTTACCACTCTGGGAGGCAAAGGAGGGTGGATTTCTTGAGTTCAGTTTTGAGTCTAACCTGAGCCAAAAGCAAGCCCCAGTCTATGCTAAAAATAAAAAGACTGGCCAGGTGCCGTGGCTCACACCTATAATCCTAGTACTTGGGAGGCCGAGATGGGTGGATTGCCTGAGCTCACAGGCTGTTTGAGACCAGCTTGAGCCAGAATGAGATATCATCTCTTAAAATTGCTGGGTGTTGTGGCAGACACCTGTAGTCCTAGCTACTTGAGAAGCTGAGTCAGGAGAATCACTTAAGCCCAGGAGTTTGAGGTTGCTGTGAGCTAGGACGCTATGGCACTCTACCAAGGGTGACAAAGTAAGACTCTGTCT